AATTACACAAAACCACATTACAAACCGTTTACACAAAACACATTCGAAATTAAATAATTTCACTCGAAAATCCCAAAAAATTTCAAGCATTTGGTCATGATAACAAGCAAATCGGAGTCCCGGGTGAGTCCCGGACCTCAGGTCCGCATTACTCAGGCCCTATAGACCCCAGAACCTGAGATTCAAAGTCTAGTCACTAGTATTGTCCTGGTTTATTATTGTTTTACTGATTTATTGCTCAAGATATTTTGGTAAACTGATTATTTTATTATTATTATCCATTCATTTATTACTATTGTTATCTTGAATTTGGGTAAACTTGGGCGCCGACGATTTGGACGCCGCCAATTTGGATACTTTTGGTTAACTAAGAAGAAAACAATTGAATTTCTGATCGTTTCACCTACTAGAACGTCTCAAATTGTTGCTATCGTGCAAATTCATCCATCTAAGCTCAGCCTCTAGACTGCCCGGGGCTTGGACTCTCGGAGGACCAGGGGGACTGCCTGAAGGTGGCGCCCAATGAGGCCAAACCAGTGCCCCCAACAACAGCTGCTGTTGTTCGTGTTGAGGGCACTGTTGGTTCTGAGTCTGCTGGCGCCAGACCCCCGGAGGCCGCCGCCAAATCACAGGCGGCGTCCAAATCGTCGAAGGCGCCCAAACGATAGCCTGGGCAGCTGCTGCAACTGGACCGGCAGCAGTTCGTGGATTTCCTGGAATTTGGGCGGCTGCTGGAGGATCGGCTCGGGGTCGAGTCTCAAAACCGGCTGGTGTCAGCCGAGGTGCTGTTGCTGGCGCCCTGGCCGAGCCGCTAGGAGGTACAGGGCGCCAGTTTGGGCGATTTTGGCGACGCGGTGGTTGATGATGGCTCAATCCTGATATTGTTTCGTTTCTAGCAAGCCTTTGCTGTTGTCGTTCCTCTAGTGGTCTTGCATTTCGCAGCAGCTCTTCGAAAGATACACCTAAAGCACCTAAAAGATTCGTGTGATCACTTAATTAATTAATTAATTAATAATAATAGTAATAAAGTAATAATAAATAAAGCTAATAAAGTTAAT